TATGCTTGTGGTCTCATTTCTTTGTATAGAAGTGGTTTCTCTCGTTTTTGTCCGGAGTTCATTGTAGGCTTGATTATTGCCAGCATTGGTCCCCGGACTTGGCATATTTCCAGACGTTTCGCCGGCATTGTAGTCGGCATCGCAAATGAGTCTTGTCATTCTTAGCACGACGCTACAACTCTTCAGAGACAAGTGAGGTCCATCCGTCTGTCTTGGTGAATCCACCTTTCCTACTTTCTCGTACCACTCTTTCACCATCACTTGGCTTGAGTCTTATTTTCAAATTAATCAAGGCTACAAATTGGAGATCGGAATTATGTGGAGTTTGATCATCAGAAGCTAAAGACTCATGGACATGGTCTTTTTGGACGAGAAGTTCAACAAAGGGACTCAAACTTTTCTCAGTAACTCAGCACAGTGTGGGGATGATGGTACTGGAAGAAGTGTGAATAGGTCACACTAAATCCGCCTAAATAGAGCATATTTAGATAAGCAGACGGCGATATACAACTGTTTAGCAGGAAGTTGGTCTGAGGATCGAATGCATGTGTATCTCACGATTTGTAGTGTGGTGCCGAGAATGACAATTTTTATTGACGATACCGACTATACTGCTGGAGAAAAGTCTGGGAATGTACCAAGTCCAGTGACTAATGATGGCTATTATTATTGATATTATACATTCTGGACAGGATGCGTTCTTATAGGTTAAAAAAATACGACGAAGCTGCGAATATGTGGTCAAACAATTTTGTTTATTTATTGTTTTATTCAAATTTTGCATTATTTTTCAATATTGCACAATTCGCTGAAAGCCTGCTTTAAGTACTCTTTTATCCTTCAACAATATATGATAATCTCATTTTGATTTTTTACATATTTCATTTTGCTTCTTGAACTGTTTAATAATATCTCCGGATGCATTTGTCCACACTCCTCAGTTTTTATTTTTTTTATCTTGCACATATCCACATACATTAAATAGTCTCGTCAGCAAGCCGGCATCCAGGATTCTCTTGAAGCTGCCAAACTTGCCAGCGAGCGCTCTCGCCGTGAAGTAGAAGCCGCGAAAAGAGCCCTCAGTGACGAACAGCTGCGCGCTGCCCGACACCTAGAGACAGCTAGGGTGAATTGGGGTCGAATTTTTATTTGTATTCACCTTTAATTTATATTCAGTTTACTTATTTTTTGTAGGCATATCGCTTATGTTGCTTATTGGATCTAGCATATTAAGAGCCTATGTCGGTTTGTGGCATATTTATTTCAGGGTTGCGCAAAATCCATTTAGCGGTTATCATTACGGATACTAGATGCATTTTTTTATCATTCTCATAATCTTTTACCAATCGCTGGCAGCCAAAATCTCTAAATTTTTATGTGAAATAACATTTCCATTCAAAAGGTGTTTTGTTTCGCGTTATTTGTTCATTAATTGCACGCAACTTTTAGCAAACAGTCATATTCTCTCAACTAGTTGTTAAGTCTCGAGTTAGTCACCTATCTTGGTTTTCCTGTGTTGTGTATGGGCCTAAAACTGTGTTGTCCTAACCAATATCCTATTTTCTTTTCTTTTCTCTTCTTTTTTTGTCTGAGTTGTACTTGAGAATGTACAGATAAATCTTGCTATAGTGCCAGCAGTCATGAGAAATTGCCTGTTAGTCTTGCACCTGCTAATGCTTTCAACTAAACTATCGAAGCAATTTTACAACCTATTATTCTAGTGACTTGTTGATTTCAATGCTGAATTTAGAATATATCTTATAGCGTTGTTTAATGGTGAACA